GCGTGGTACGCCCAAAAACGATTATTTTGAGCTTTCAAAAGAAATTTTCTGTACTACCAACATTTTATTTGACGTACAAAGTTTTTGGATTACTTATTTTCCTTTTCCTCACTCGTCAATTATTTGTAAAGAAGCTAAACAAATTCAGAGAACGATTTACTTTCATAGTAACTAGTAAACGCGTTACTTCCAGCCTTACTTCAGGAAAGTAACGTCGTTACAGTTACTTATCAATCAATCTGAAAAGTAACGAAGTTACCAAGTAACGCGTTACTTTCAGTAACTCGTTAAAGTAAAGTAACTTTTTTTTGTCGTTACTCCCAGCTCTGACTGTAATCTATAAGTTGATTTTATCTATTATAACTGTTTATAGTATAAAAAAAATCATGTTTAATTATCAGAAGTATCATTTTTATCATGGGGTGCGAATGTACCCCACGTGGAAATCCACGTAATTTTTTTTGACGTGGGAAGACGAAGGTTAATGCAAGTAGAAAAAATAGTGTATGCAACTCTCATTTAACGGCCATCAATACACTCGCATGATATATACGAAACTCGCCTGCGGCTCGTTTCGTATCCTACAACATGCTCGTGTATTAATGGCTATCATTACATGATCATTGCATAATATACTATTTTTTATCCATAAGATAAGTAAATACCTAGTAAACTGAAGGACAAAGCTAGAAATTCCGAAAACACGTAAAAAGGGCTTGCTACGACTTGTCAAGTTGGAGGGTTCCAGCGTATACCCATTTTTCCCAAAACCGGGTCGTTGGTGACGCATAGAAAGTTTTCTGACGAAAAAGTATTTTTTTGAAAAAATCATATAAAAGGCAATATTCTTGACATAAATTAGGAGAATTTACAGATCTCTGAAGAAAAGTTACGGGGTCGCAAGATATTCCTGGAATAGTATATTAAAATACAAGTTGCAGAAGGCCGCACATATTCCCGCACGAATTCGAAATTTGGCCACGAGCGACGAAGGAGCGAGTGGACGAACGAATGAGTGCGAGAATAGCCTTCTGCAACGTGTGTTTTATACTATTTTCTCGATTTTGTATTTTATATGTCAAAAAAAAAAAAAATGTGAACGCTGTTAGTTGGGGATTTTTTATTTTCAAAATATGTCAGTTGGTGACACTACTTACCAACCAACTGACAGGTGGATTCTATCATTTTAGAAGGTTTGACAATTTTGAAGGTACCAATAGGTATACATTGAAAACTAAATGTCACTAAAAATCGTTGAAGAATGAGCTTCATTCTTCAACGATTTTGCGTGCGGGAATAATGACATTATCACATCAAAATCGAGATTTCGGGTCATCGCTGACCCACTTTCGGTAAGGCGAGGGTTAAATGACAATTTTTCAAATTGTCCATTAACCCGAAAACGGTATGTCATTTCTCTAACTAGCTTGACGAAAACGCCCTACTTCTACTATTCTCAATAACTTATACGTTTATACATTGCAACACTTCCGATTCATTCCTATTAAAACTACCCTTCACCTATATGTATAAATTCCTAAGTCCTTTACTGATTGCTTATACAAAATCAAAATAATTATTTATTAATATAGGTATTACTAATTTATTCTTATAAAAACCTTACATCAATAATTTCTACATGAAAAATAAAAACCCTAATTCAAAATTTCGGCACTTAAGATCATCAATGTTTCTTCATGAACAACAATTTTCAAATAAACCTTCCAGTACTTCTAATAATTATCAACAGCAATTTTATTTCATAAAGAACAACAAGTTTCTTTTCGAAACTTCCATTTTATTTAATGGTTTATTTAATCAGAACAATTACTATTTCCGGATTCCTAGCCAATAAACACAATTATTTAATTCTTATTAGATTCGTTACTATAGCCCTTAAACTTCAATTTGGACAATCCAATTCAAAATTCTTTATTAATTCCTACTCAAAATCGTATATAGTTAGGAGCATTATAAGTTCCCTTCATATTTTCTTTACAAAATTAGATTAAAATGTCATTATATTCGAAGGCAATTAAAGTTATGCAATAATGTTCCATAGTCAAAACACTCGAGTTATTAATATTTATGCAATAAAGTTCCAAAGTTGTCACTTCATAGTCATAGTTACTCAAAAAGTTCTAGAGCTCGCAAATAATATTGAATGCCTTTAAATGTTCTTTCTTTCACAATTTTCCGTATTTTTTCTAAGTTAAATTAAACCCGAGGCAAAAATAAAAGAAACTCTTCGCGAATTTTCTTTCCGGACTGACACATTAGGTACTGTAGACTTTAACTCAAACTGGAATGACCAGCGAACTGATCTGACAACTGACTGCCACTTCTAAAACAAAGTAGGTATTATTAATTATCCACCAAAATCGTCAATAGGCGGTCGTTTGACCATCAATAAGTCAATTCCATTGGCCGACCTAGATATTATTAAAAATAATGATGCAATCTATTAGAAATTTTTGTCATTTCTATTTTTTTTAAATCAAATAATTGTGTCGCAATATCCTGATTTGTAGGGCATCTTTGGTTCAAGAATGCCATATATCATCGATTTAATTACTATGGCCTCGCTTTTAAAAAGTTCATTGATTTGATTGAGTTAGGAGATGACATCACGCTTGGTGACTAAATAGTAGAAGTTTTAACGTATATAAATATTTTAATTTAACTTGGGGTCAACGCTAATTTGTTTCATTTTCAATTTATCGATACTGATTTGAAATACCGGAAATTCAGTTTTTGATTATTTGATTACATTTAATTTTTACAGTAAAGCGTTAAAGACATTGTAAATATTGGGACTATTTTTCCGGATCATTACAGAGCTTACAAAATACCTGACAGTAGCAATGAAACGAGGCCGACTACTGGAGAAAGAAGTACTAAGCGTATTAAAAAAACATTAAAAATCACATATTAAAACGCGGTTTCTTTATATGTCGCGATTACCCCTCTATATTGGTGCTTCACCTGATGGTATTGCCGGTATTGGAAGAGACTTCATTGTCCAAATTAAATGTCTGAATTCCAAAAGAACTGTTAATAATTAGGTACCTATTTAGTAAATGATAATGAGCTTTCACCCCAATGTAATGCGTAGGTTCAGCTACAAATGTTTGTAACTGGGAAAAGTCAAGGAGTGCCTGACCGCGTCTTTGAAACCACAAAAAAGATCACTATTATAAGGGTCAATTTTCATGCCGAATATACGAATAACGACTTTCTGGAAGCAACACATTTACAAAACTATTGTATAGTGTAAAAATGTAAAATTAATAAATAAATCAGCGTTATTGGAAAAAGTGTAGTTTATTTATTGTCCCTATAGGTAGGTACCTACTTTACAACTTTGAAATCTTTGAACTTCGTTGACCAGTCAGAAACAACTACTCCGAGGGCATTACCTGAAAAAACTTCTTAACAATTTGAAATATTTGTTAAAGTAATAGCTTTTAAATGTTTTATTAAAGGACCTTGTAAGTTGATACGTCCCGCAGCAATTCTTTCTAAATAATCAAAGGAATTAACTTGTTTATTGATGCAGGAATGGGACCTTAAAAATTTAAATTCGCGAACTCTTCGTATAATTCTTTCGATATGAATTCTCAGACAGAAATCTGGATACTTTGAAAGTATGCGTTTTAATGCAAGCAGATATTACTCCTGCATCTCTATCCACGAATTTCAATAACACTTGCAGACCTATTAAATCTAAGAAACAATCACTAGAAGACCAGAAATTTATTGAACAAGAAGTCCGGATAGTGCTTTCTGAAGGTATCATTGAAAAGAGTAATTCGCCTTGGAGACCTCAAGCTTTAGTCACTTCCAGTACAAATCATAAGAGACGAACTAGATGCATATCCACTTCCAAACATAGAAGACATTATTTCAAAAGTGTCAAGGTACCAAGTTTTCAGCACTATAGATCTAAAAGTGCATATCACCAAATTCCAATTCTTGAACATGAAAAACCTTATACAGCGTTTGAGGCGTGCGGCGAACTATATCAATTCACGAGAATTCCTTTTGGTGTTACCAATGGAATTGCTAGTTTTCAAATAGTTGTTGACAATATAATCAAGAAAGAAAATCTTCAAGGCACATATGTCTAAAGCCAATATTTTGGTATAATTCGGAAGTACTATTCATTACAGCTAGTAAAAAATAGTAACTAAAATAAAATTTGTTAAAACATCAAGTTTATTTCAATTTATTCACATCATAATAATCCTAAAATAAAAACAATTAATTAATAATTATTTACAGCTCAATTCATTTCAATTTTATACAAATATTTTACAAACCTAGAATAAATAATATTTACAAATTCATAATAATTGAGTACGTACGTATAGGTATTTAATTCTATAAGGAGAAAACTGGCCCGATCAAATTCATTTATTGATTGATCAGAAGGCAGCCTTTGATACTTTGGAGCAATTCAAAAACTTTAATTTACAATACACTGTGTATAAAATTTAAATATTAAATTGTAAAAAGAAATAAATAAATAAAGTTAAAAAAACAAACAAAAATATTAAAAAGTATGTACATACAAACAAAACTAGCCGTGACTAGTAAAAGGGAGATTTCATAATTTCGTATAAAAAAAAGTATTAGTTTTGTAACAAAAACAATCTCTTAGGTAGATTTTGTTGCAAGATTTAATCGAAATTATTGCAATTTTGATTCTAATAATCTATTCTAAAATGTTCAAAACATTTATCACTTAGTGTCAGGCTAAAAAGTCTAATACTAAAACCTACAATTATTATTAAATCACTAATTGTTTAGAAGGTCATTTTTTTTTTCATTTACAAGTCCTATTCTATTATTTCTCAATCTCTTCCTCAAAAATTGTCTATTTTTTTACTAAGAAAAAAATTGGAAACGAACTTTTCGACTCCGATCCGATCGGTTCGTAACGTAAGAGCCTGACAGTACCTTGGCCAGGGTCTAGAATGTTCGATGGCCCCTGCGGGTCAAGCTTGTATTATGTCTGCCTGATAGTACCTGACAAAGAAAAATTGTTAGGGTAAAACGAGGTGAGTTTTCAATGTTTGCTTACCTGGTAATCTGAGGCTTTCGGAGATATTTGCTTCTTTTAGTTGCTGGAATAAGTGATGTCCCCATTCGAAGGGATCTTCTTTTCTGGAAAATCAATTTGAAATTAAAACATATAACAAATAAAAAAAGAACTAAAAATGCAAGAAAGTAAATATTATACCATGAGTGACAGTATGAAATAAGAATTTGTCTTAACAGTTCTTTTAGAGGATTATTTAATAGAAAAATATACATAAAATTATACCCATATTCACATAAAATTATCCTTTATCGTTAACATTTTTGTAAACAATTTTTCTCCCATTAGTGTTGTTGGTTTAAAACGCTAAGCAAATTTGGAATTTGTAATAAAAATTGGAATTGGATTTGGAATAAAAAATTTAAAAAACTCTCAAAAACAACAAACTTGGATGACTTAAAATTAGAAAAGTCATATTCTTCTGGGAAAAGTAAATAATTTATCAAAAACGATGCAAGACACAGCAGATAAGGTGATAAATTACTGGAAAAGGATAAAAAGCACATAAAGCATAAAGTGATAACAGAGACAAAAATAGACACCACATCACAAAGCTCTACCAAAGAAACTAGAAATGCTGCATCTGAAGTTAAGATTATGAGAATCCTGCAAGAGACTCTAGGAGTAGCAGAAAGGGCGGTTCTTCGAAGCAGGCTGAAAGCAGTGAAAATGACCAAGGATAAATCAAAAATAAGTATTAGAAAATATGAGGATACACCAAAGAAACTAGACACTTCAAAAGTACTAAGTTGACAAAAGCAATAAAGACACAGTTGAGGTTCCTAAAGAAAAGGGTAGTAAAAATACATCAAAACCTAAAGAGTTTACGCTAAACACAGATAAAAAAGACTGAAATAGATTCATCAAAAATTGTTAGGCACAAGAAGTTCCATCAAAAAATGTAAGAAGCCTTGCAAAAATCATAGAAAAATTGAAAAATACATAAATAAATAATAGACGTAGGCGTACTTCAACTTGTCAGTTTACCATTTGTGAAAGGCAATTTTGCCTGACCTATTACCAGATTTATCTCCGGGTGATATCAAAAGAATTTGGTAATAACGGTACTTATAGTCGGAGAACCAGATGAGGTTAGAAATTAGAGATTTTTTGAAACAAATAACTCCAAATTGGTAACAGAGAAGTAAATGTCGTCATTACGGATTATAAGAGAGATGCAAATGTATTTGCAGTCGTAGGTAAGAGGACAATTTGTAATCTTCTTTTTGATTTTAGATTATTAATCTTTACCGGCTCTTGATTGGCTCCAAAAAAGTTTTTCAACGAATCGTAATTTTCATTTTTATCGGCTCTTGAGCCTTGACTGCCCTTAGGAAAATTTCCTAGCGAATCCAGAGTTAATAAGGTTCAAATTTTGACTATGACTTGATTGGCTCCAAAGAGATGTTCAGAGAATTAAGAGCCGGTAATACTAGTTCAAATTTTGATTCATTGGATACTTTTTCTCGAACCAATTAGAAGCTGCAGAAGAAGATATTTTGATTAATATCAACTCAAGAGCTGCTAATGAGTAATCGAAATTTTGATTATTATCGACTCTTGAGCTTTGATTGCTTTTAGAAAAATTCCTTAGCGAATTCAGAGTTGATAAAGTTCAAATTTTGATTATTACCGGCTCTTGATTGGCTCCAAAAAAGTTGTTCAGAGAATCAAGACCCAGTAATAGTTCAAATTTTGATTATCTCTGAATTGCAGAAGAAGAAATTTTGATTAATTTCAACACAAGAGCTGCCAATGAGTACTCGAAATTTTGATTGTTATATACAGGGTGTTCTTAGATAAACAGACACATCTTGCAGGTTAATATCTCAAAAACAAGAAAAGATAACGGGATGCGGTTGGTTCTGGGAGAATAAGGATTTTTTGAAGTATTTTTTCATAGTATTGCCGAATCCTGTAATTTGGTTGTATGTACAGACATTCGATTTTTTGAAATAATTACATACTGCCTTATTCTTGATGAAACACCTGTCATCGTCAGAAACCGTGACATTTCTACTTTACACAAATGTATAATTTTTTTCAATTATCTTGATTTTGAATCGTAAAAATTGTACTTTGTAGAAGAGTGTACAGGATTTCCCGATTATTTTGTCCTATCTCGGTATATGAAAATCTAGATATTTTATGAAAAAAAGTTTTATACAAAAGTTGTAGGGTTTAAATCATTAATTCGTTTATTTGTATGTTTCCCTTTGATCATACCATCGACTGGCCAAAAAAAAAGATAATAACTACCAATTAATTTGCGTTTAATATGCACTTGCATTATTAATTAATTTGTGTTTAATACTTGTATTATCAGTTAACTATGCGGTAATTAGTTGATAAAAGTATTAAACACCATAGTTATTTAACGGCTTGACCGAACTCCGCTTCGCGTCGTTCGTTCAACTGCCGTTGCGTGCGGTAAAGTATCACTTTCCGCATTTGTTAGGTACAAAATTTTACCTATGAGCATCTACATCTCCAAAAAAGGCAATAATCAAATTAATTATTGAATCAGATGAATTAATAAAATTAGATTAGATTTAGAAATGATCAAAAATCCATTTTCTGAAAAAGAAAGGATTTTTAATCATAAATACCAAAGTCTAACTTTACCGCACACACATAGTGTGCGGTAAAGTGCCACTTTCCATTTGCAAATAAGTGCGGTAAAGTGCACTTTACCGCACGCTCGTTTATACATTTTTGTTAAGTAAAAAAATCAGGGTTTCTTACGATGACAGAATATACAAGGTGTTTCATTAAAAATAAGGCAGTCATTATATTTCAAAAAATCGCATCTCTGTAAAACTAAATTTCAGCAAATTTTAGCATTCAGCAATAATGTGAAAAAAAACTTTAACAAATCCTTATTCTCCCAGAACAAACCGCATCTTGTTATCTTTTGCCTGTTTTCGAGATATTTACTTGCAAAATGTGTCAGTTTATCTAAGGACACCCTGTATTATATTATATGTATAAGTACCTTTCTGGTATACCTTATGGTATTGTCATTGTATTGTCATTGTCGAGTTGATAATAGTACATTATACACCTAGGGACCTAAAGTGGTACTTTTAATCCCGAGACAAAAAGTTTATAGCCCAACTGAAGGGAGGGCTATAATATGTCGAGGGATTAAAAAACACTTTAGTCCTGAGGTGTATACACTATTTTATGCACTTCACTCTATTTCCCGGGGATTAAATAAAACAGGAAATAAAAGGGCACTTTTAATCCCTGTTTCACTTAGTCCCCGGGAAATAAAGTGAAATTTAATCCCGGGGATTAAAAGACCTCCTGAAATCAGGGATTAAGAGGGTATTTTGAATCCCTGAAGTGCATAAAAAAAGTAATTTCAATTCTACTAAATTAATTGTTAGAGAGTGAAATAAGGCAATATTTAACATTGGCGCAGTCGGTATAAGAATTTAAATACATGATGCCTTTGGGAAATTTGGAAAACTTTGATCCAGAAAGTGATTAATGGATTAATTACAAGAAAAAACGAAATTTCTTTTTTCAGGCGAATGAAATTAAGGGTCCTGACAAAAAGAAAGCTTTTTTTGTAAGTGTTATCGGTAAATCATTATATATGAAGTCATTAATAAATTGATATCTCCTCCTAATGTGACAGGAGAATCATTAGAAGAAATTTTTGATTCACTATAAACTTCGAATTTGTGGGGATTATCGCAGTATGTACTGTAAATAAATATGCAAAAAATAATGTCTACCCTCTGCCAACGATTTAAGAAATGCGTACTATATTATCTGGAGGAGTTTATTTCACAAAATTAGATTTACAACAAGCCTATCAAAAATTGACAGTTGATGAAGATACTGCTATGATTATGACACTTAACACTCCAAAAGGTTTATTCAAGGTTAACAGATTACAATTTGGTATTGCTGCAGTTCCTGCCATATTTCAAAGAACTACAGACGTGTTATTACAAAATATGGAAGGATGTCAAGCATATCTCGATGACATAATTATAGTTGGAAAAACCATTCCTGAACATAATGAACGACTCGAAAACGTTTTGTTCTGTATAAATGAATTAAGACTTACTTTAAACAAAGAAAAATGTAAGTTTTTACAAACAGAAATAGAATATTTGGGTATTCGGAATGCATCCTACAGCGACCAAAATTAGAGCTATAAGTGCTGCACCTGCTCCTAAAACGGAAGAAGAATTGCAAGCATTCCTTGGTCTCCTTTAATTTTATGAATGTTTTCTTGAAAATAGATCTACAGTTGATAGTCTAGGAGGCAGTGACGATTTTCGGTACTTATTTTCCCAGTCAGAAAAGATGGATAGAATTGTAGGGTTAGTAATTCTAAGCAAAATACATATATTTTTAGGGGGGGTTTTCCGATGGGTTGAGGCGCAAAATGTGTTAAAGCTTACCAATACACAGTTCTTTTTTTTCTCAGTGATAAAAATAGGTCTACTAATGAGAAGTATACTGACGTTACTTAAAAAAATAGTCCGGCTAATCTGTGAGTATAGATAATATGTCTGGCAAGTGAAAAATTGAAGATCCTAAAAATTTCAGCCAGACTCACTTTCACTATCTGAGATAAGCCAAATTGCTATTTTCATGTACTTTATGTTCTATTGTAGTAAATGTGAAATATTTATATCTCGGAAAATAAGCCTACTTGTATTTTTCATCGATCTTGTGAACCCATCCGAAAATTTTAGCCAAACTCAAAAATTCTTGCTTTGTATCACCAGGAGAACAAACTATTTAATAGACACCAACTGGGAAAATAAGTGCTGAAAAATTTCACTGCCTCCTGGACTATGAACATCTTTATCAATTATTAAAAAAATCAGTATTTAATTGGTTACCTATCCATCAAGCAGCGTTGGAAAAACTCAAAAAGATGGTAACTTCAGATTCATTGTTAGTAAATTTCAATCCTGTTTTACCGTTGGTCCTTGGTGGAGATGCAAGTAATATAGGAGTAGGAGCTGCGTTATCTCACATTATTGATGGGAAGGAAATGCCAATTGCTTTTGATTCAAAAACTTCAAATAGCATT